TTATTCCCAAATTTTTAAAAAATTACAATTTAAATATTAATACAAATTTCACTGTATACAAATTGATTTTTCACTTTCAATAATTGAGATTTTAGAATGTCAGGCCATATAAATTACCCGTTCGGCAGTGGAGGCAAAATGTATCATCAGTGTAGGCAAACGTAAATGAAATACAGTAGTGGTAAAACTTGCACCTATCAGTATCAGTACACCAATAAACAATTACATCATGAGCTTGAGGTTTAAGGTGTACATTTGTTTTTGTTTAGAAGTAAAATATGATATTTTATAGGATGACCTTCTCTTGTTATCTGACCCTGTGGTAGACTATGGAGGAAGAATTGTCAAAGAAAGCCCTCAACCACTAAACCACAACACACTCCCACCACTGTGTGTATATGTAGGCCAAGGGTGCACCTATCAAATTCAACATGCAGTGAAACAGAGTAGGCCCTACTTAAATTTCAAGATATTATACTGTAAATACCATGTACTACTTTTACATTACTGTGCTGCTTTTACAAATTTATATAATGTGTTTTGATATCCATTTGTTGTTTCATAACTTTTTATCCATCTTACACAATTTTAGTGTTTTTTTTATGGTAGATGAGCAATGAAATTTCCTCGTATTATAGATGAATATTTTGTTGCAATTTTCAATAAAACGAACAATCTATTCAAAATATACTAAAGTAAAGCAATTCGAATATATTAATATTTTAAATTTTTTTTATGTGGCACTATTTAAAAGTGTTTTTAAGTTTACCAAAAAGGTATTAATTTAATAATGTTAACTGAAATGGCATGTCATTAGGTAGGGTTCCATGTGTCTGAGTCTTCAGTGGATTCTGACATATTCATTACAAGGCATTTATTATTGAAAGCTGAAAGGAGCGAATGAATATAAACAAGAGATTTGCTACAAATCAACAGAGGTTGGCTCCAAGAGGCCCAGTGAAGCATGCAGACTTTTTGATGAGCTAAGTGAATGAGTAATGGGGCATGCAACATAAATTTGACAGTGAAAGAGATACCCTCACTTGTAGTCAATACATTTTCAAGATCATGAGCAAGTTTGAAAACTCATGGAACTGATGATACAAAGGTGAAAATCATCTTGTGAAATTATTTTCTTTTACAACAGTGCGTGAGAGAACCTACAGGGGTCTCAAGCCAGAAGAAACCACTTAGGGTACAGTAGATCTGTTTATGAGCTTTCTTAAACACATCTAAGGGTATGTTCACACACACAGCGTAAGGCTGGCGTAGCTTATGCCAGCCGTCTTGGCCTATAATTCCTGTAACATATTTAAAGATGGTCGAAAAATAACTACAAAAATAGAGAATGTTGAATGTTGCATTACACATATTCGCACATCACAGGTAATCTTAAAATTTATAATGTTTTTATTTTTTTTATGGGAAATTTGGTTTTGTAATCCTAATATTGATTTTATGTCCATGTAAGAAGTCATACGAGAATTTAGATCAATAGCCTCTTCAGATATAGCTTTATAAATGTTTAACCAGCTATTCTGATCAATTATATAATAATTCTCTATGTAATCAAATAAAAATTTGAATCAGAATTACAGACCAGTGATGGAAGGCCATCAGGCACCAGGAAGCAATAAAGGAATATATATTATGTATTTTAAACCATATTTTAGACTCCAATTTCGTTGACAATTAAAAATAATTTGAAAATGGATTTTTCTCAATATACTGTACCTGTATTTTATAAAAAGAAGTATTTTTCATACAGTGAGTTCCACACTACAGTATACTGTACATGGTAATGTCTATGTTCACATCCTAATATTTATTTTTGTACACTGTTTTTGTTTACATATTGTCATGCCAACCATACAAAAATATGAAAAAAAAAAAATGAAAATACAGAAGTGAACACACAAAGGCTTACTGTAATGGTTTTCCTATTTAAGACATACTGTAGGCCTACACTAGTTATTATAACCAATTGGAGGTATGGATTACCATACACCAAGGTAATACTATCTACTCAAATCTCTTTTGAAAGCTGTTTTTTATTCAACTTGAATTATGAACAAAACTAGCTGGCTTGAGTCAAGGTTAAATCTGGCATATTTTATAAGACAATAAATCTATTCTGAATAAAGCAGCTTTACTATTAAGTGATAATCCAGCATTTTACTGTACTTAAAAACAATGGAATATTACAAACTGTGTATATACAAACCTAACTTTGATGCAAAATTGAATGAGCACCCTAGTTTCAAAGCTTCAAAAGCAAAAGATCCAATAAAATGAAAAAAAGTAGATTGAATAAGTTAATTAAAGAGATTTGTCAATTAATGTTTAAAAAACAACTTTATATTCCATTTGTTAAATTTAACAAGAGAAGTCGGGGTAGGCCTAGAGTTAGCTGGTGCAATAATATCACAGAATGGGTCAACATGTCTTATTTAGAAACAGTGAGAAGCGTGTGGAATAGAGACGAGTGGTGAGCCATTGCATCCAACCCTCAACCAGAGGACGGAACCTAAAAAGGAATTCAACCCACAATAAAAAGTATGTAAAAAATATAAAAAATTATACTAAAAATTAGATTATAAGGCATGACTTTGACCTATTTCTGAAAGATATATCCATAACTTGACTATTACAGTAATGTAGAATACAGTGTAACTCCTGTATATGACACTTTTTCCTTTATCTTAAATGTTTTTTGTTTTTTTTTCTCTTTGACATACAGTACTGAGTACTACATTAAAAAGGCCAGGTCTAGAGAATAAAGTTTTTACTGTATGTTACAAAAAAGTCTGTTCTCCCATAGGATTTAAATCTAAACCCTGTTTCTCCAGCACTAATTTCTCCGATAAATTAACTTAAAATTCCCACCAAATATTTTATCCTGTCATCACTTCATACCTGTAGTATAGGGATTGAGAACACAAAAAAGACTGGCTTTGTTTTGTGTGCTTTGCGACAACAAACGATAGGAAGGCCCAGCCAGGCACCACCGTCTTAGCCTTTATTTTTAAATATTTTATAATGAGCACAAAAAATGTACTCACTTTTTATTACGTTTGATACTAGGCCTACAAAAGTTGCCTCAGATAAGAAACTATCCATAATAATTCTTTGATTAATTTGACATTAAGTCAAAGGTTATTTATTTTCGCATTCGGGTATTTTTCTCATAAATTATTTGATTCTCATGCAAAAAATTATCGGAAACTTTGGGTTCCATTTCCGCTGCGAAAAATAACAAAATGGCTGCATTCCGATAATTATATCGGATAAGTGCTGTGGAAACACGGCCTATGACACCAGAATTTGAAGGGACGAATCTTACCAGGCCACGACTGCAATGTAAGTCTATACACTTTGTCAATTGTTGACTTAAGTTTTCACGATTATTGCAACTACTGTACGCAGAAAATTGCCATAATGCACAAACTAATTGTAAGAAATGTTTGTGAAACTGTGTGCTCGGTGCGTAATTTGAAACACTAGCACAAACTCAGTGCACAGGCATTAAGTATGCGTACTTACTGTTATCTCTTTATATTTTGATAGCTCTATAGCCTAACAATGCTAAATCAATGCCAATTTAATCATTTACCCTTAATTAGGTTCTTCTAATCCAATGTAAACTGACATTTGCAGGTTACATCAGGTTTTCCTGATGGAATTACTATACAAGTTTATGTCTCATATTTCTAAGTAAATATTTGAGTACACACAATACACAACAGGGCCATCTGTGTATTATTTATATCCACCATTTGTTGTATACCATCAATGCAGTTTGTCTGAACAAAGATTAGTATGGCCCAGTGGTTATACTAGTATAAAAGGCATGTTAAATCAAGGTCAAAAATGTCATAACTCATCAAATACTGTAGGCCTAAACTACAGCATACATGTCAGTGAAAGTTAATATTAATGAATTGGTGAACACTGAACAGTTCAACTTATAGGAAAAAAATTTATAAAATAAAGGATTTGAATTTCTACAAATCATAGAATCAAGAACTGTTTTTTTTTAATTCACTATTTTTCATCAGTTTTTAAATACTTTTACTACTGAGCACTTTTATAAATTATACTTGATGAAAAATGAAGTTGATCATGAACTGTATTCTCTATAAGTTTAACAGGACTACAATATGATTCTAAAAAAATTGCTAATGAGGTTCATATAAAATGAAATTTTAAAAACATGACAACAACAACAAAAAAAAAACACTGTGAAGTGTGTATCTAGGAGCACTGACATGAGTGGAGAAGAGGCTAATGATGGGGAGTAAATTTAAGTTAATTGGGGGAATACAGTACATGAATATTAAATTGAGTTGTGTTGTTTGATGGAGATTCTTAAGTACATGAGAGCAAAATTTTTGGTCAGCAATTTCCAGTAGGGGTGCCAATCCCGTAGGCGGGATTTTTAAAGAGGGAGGCGGGGGGTTGTTCTAATTTTCCGCAAAAGGGCACTTTGATACCTTACTCACATCAGTCCCACCATGGCTGGGCTCAATTTTAAAAATAGGGCCTAATACCTCAGATGTCCAGAAATGGCAATAAAAATGCAAAATTTCAAATTGAGTTAATCGCGCAACAACTTCCATGCAAATGATACATTTTAATACTAATTTAAAAGGGAATTTCTTGAAAAGAGGGTTCTTTCGAACCCCCTTTCTTTCGAACCCCCTAGCTACGGGCTTGCGTGCACGTTTTTATTTTAAATATATTTTTTTTTGGGGGGGGGGAAGGGCGGAGAGGGTCATGACCAAGCCCCTCCCCTCACTGTAGATACGCCACTAGCACGGGGAGTTCATTAGGTACATGCACACACATACACCACATGTCTAGGAGGCCTACTACTAAGTTATTATATAGGCCAGGACTTCGGCCCTAGGCCAGGCCTAAATTGCACATGCAGGCCAGCCGGGAAGGAGACTCCGAGTTAACAACAAAAAAACCCGAGCATCCAAACATCCAAAACTTACCAACATCATCGTTTTGTTGACAGTACGCTAAATTATATAACAAAAATGGAAGAACTCCAGTCAATTCGCACCACCTCATGCTGAAGGCCCTTTCACAATAAAGGCGAGAAAATCCAAAACAAACCCTAACTCCAACCCAAACAGTATAAAGATCCTCACTGAGCGAACAACTTAACTTCACAGTGCACGAAACGTCAAAAGCAACTTTCTTTGAACTACCGCGGTACGGTGGGTGCCGAATAAATTTGGATTAAACCATTATTACATCTATCAAAATACCGGCAAATCTGGTACCAAGATGTAAAAAAAAAAGATTTCGCCTAAAATTCATTTTGTTATAAATGTCTACGAAAATATAACAGAAAAAATACTAGTAGAGCAATGGTGAAGATAATATGGCATTCAAAACTCATTTTAGTTTAAAAGAAAATGTGCTTAAAATGGAATCGTCCGATTCAATGCAGCTAAAAAGTGGAGTGAGTTTATCATTTATCGGAAAACAAATATTCAAAAAGAAGTAAATTTAAATCATAAGCAGTTTATGGAAACACAAGGAAGAAATTTACTTCTAAATTTTTTCTCATCGACAATGCATAGCCTATTAAATAAATTTACGATAAAATAGGGCACACACCAGATTCAAAACACTTCGCCGTTTGCAGGAAAATGGCCCTTTAAAAGATCACACTTCAGATAGACAGGTGTACAGTATATCAGGACAGGTGTACTTATCATTGAAAGATTTGAAAGATCATTTCCAACCATTCTGTTGAAAAGGGGTGAGGAAGTAGTGCATTCCGTTAAACATGTGTTTGTGATACAACCAGTAGTGGTTTTAATCATTGTATTGATGCAATCGTTAACAAGTTGTGATTGTTAACAAGGATAATGTTCTCCAGGGACTAGGCCCGTAGGCCTACGTGATAGAATATGGTTGAATATACTTTATCCTGTACTCTACTGATGTTTTAAAATAATCGTATATTTGCATCCATTGAGAGGTTGGTGATAGTACTAGGCCTAATACTTTTGACCACTTTTTGAAAAAATGCGCGCGCACAATAAACTTGGTCACTGATCTCTATCATAAGAGGCCGTTTATGTTTCCATTCAATAATATTATTTAAGATCTACGACTGGAGCATACTTAAGCCTTAGTAGTGCCTCCCAAAGGATGGTAAAATGAGCACATTTTTATTTCCCCACCATCCCCCTCCGATAAAACAAAAATAAATCTTCTTTACCAATCTGAAAAGTGGTTACTCCTGCTGAAGACTGAACCATATTCACTAGCTTAATTAACTGTACATATACATATACATAGGCCTATACTAAATTTGGTAAATATATTAAATAAATAAATTTTACTGCTGTTTGATGTTGCAAGTTATGTTTTATAGATGCAAGCTGTATGATGGCGCTATTCATTATTCCAGAGCTATTACAGAGCAGAGCCATATATTAAAGAGTTGCGACATTCCGCCCCTCGGTTTGCGAAAGTCACGTGGTGTATACACCGTTCATTTTTGTGTCCAAATCTTCCCGATGAATACACGCAAAGTATACGAGTTAGGTACATTACATAGTATTTTCACATGTTTAATGTTATTACTTAATTGATAACTATTTAATATCAAAAACATGTTAGAATTCGAATATTTGCACGCGCGCTTGATAATTAAATGTGAATACATAGAAATTATAATTGGAATGAAAGGTTCGTCTATTCTATGACTGAAAGATCCGCTTTTGTCAACAAAGTTATGTTTGCTCTACTTTATGCCTACACAATATCTGTTTAGGGCCTATATATTGCGGTCAACTGACCTATACCATTTTAATGTTATTTTATTTATAAATAACAATAATGAAATTAATAATATAAGATTTATGGCTCGCTCATATTCGATTTTAAAGAACAACAATCCAGATACACTATTTACGGATCACTGAAATCGGTAAAGCCGACCAAGTCTAAAAGTAATGATACTGGCTATTCAATATTGACTGCCAGCACTGATTTTGATAAAGTAGGCAGGAAAAATGATACATAATTAAAAAGACCAATTAAGAAGACAAAGCATTGCCCTTTACTTTTTAAACATTAAGTTTCTGACGGTGATAATTTGAAGTAGGCATACTATCAATTTACAAACGAAAATGATGCGGCCCACTTGATATAAGCTAATACTATTTAAATATTTATTACTATAAACAATAATAATCGGAGTGATTTTTGGCAAAGAAACCCTTTAGTATGATATAATTTTTTAATTTGATTATGATTTCGAAAATCACTTGTTGCTTCTCTTTGCAAAATTCAAGAAAAAATACTTAGATATTTTGTTGTTTTATTATCGTTTTTCCCACACAAATTAAATACAGGAATAACATAGATGTAACCTCAAATAATATAAAAGAGTAACAAATGTTGATTACATTTTGATAGACATTAATTAATATTTGCTGGTCGTCATATTATTTTGCCAGAATAACAGGAGCCACTTTAAGGGTCTATATGGCAGGATAAAAAGTGCATACAACCGTCAGTGACGTTTTCAAAAACAGGAGTACGCTCTCTTCTTCTAATTATACTCTTCGCTATAATTTAAAAACATAAGTTCATTGAATAGTTTAAAAAGAAGTGATAGGCCAAGTTTAATATACTGTATTATAATTATATAATAAACACAGATTTGTTTACGCCCAATTAAACAAATAGGTAAAACGACATAAAAGCACGATAAAAACATTTATGAGAGTCGAATAAAAATTGTTTAAAAGCCTTCTTTAAATAATAATAATAATTCACTCACGAGAGGGGTTTTATTTTTAGATGAATAAAGCAAGACTTTTTTATTCCTTGTTTCGCGTACTTATTTTTTAAAGATCATTAGAGCAAAGCGGAATAAAAGTAAACATAAAATTTTGTTTTCTTATTTAGCAAATAGTTTTGCCAAAAACATCCAGATTGAGGAGAAAATAAAAATAAAATGTTATTGGTGAATGTAAAATGGTGTGGTTAAATGCTTCAAATTTATATAACATCAGGAAGAAATTGGCCAAAAAGAAAATTTTAATTTTATTCGAAATTATCAATATCTTCGTTCGGCGGGTTCGCTAACAAGGTATAAAAAAGATTATCCTAAGGATTTTTAATGTCGACATCGAAATCATTAAATTATTTGATGATCCTTTCATTTTTTTTTAATCTGTAAAGGCTTTTGTTGTACTGTTTTTGTACATTGGAATTACCAGAGAACAAAAATAGACTAAATCGTGTTATTAGAATAGCGAATAAGGTTATGGGCATTACACGTTGATGATTTATGCGGCATTGGAGAGAAAACTGTTTGAAAAAAAAAACAAAAAAAAAAAACAAAGCAATGATGATGCCACACATATTCTCATTTCTACTACGACATCCGCTAGTCAACCTCCATGGTAAAAACAAATAGGTTCGAAAACTCTTTTATTCTATCAGAAATATGTCCTTTTAATAAAAAAAATTGTCAGATAGCTCGTGTTGTGTAATAATTAATTGCTGCGACGTAAAACCTTATTAGATAGGCCTATTCGATGTTTTTTTTTAATTGCAAAGACATTATTTTTTTTATTATTATTCCATGACCGTTAATAATTTCTTTAACAAAAAATAAAAATAAAAGTGAAATGAGGGGCGATATAGGCCTATCTTTTAACACTGCTGCCAACGCCTATTAAGGGGACAGCCAAGGGGACGGGGGACACCTTCTGAGTGTACCAAATGGTCAAATAGCCCATATTAAGGAGACACTTATTTTTTTTTCTATTGTATCACAACAAATACAACAGTCTCAAAATAAGAAAAAATCACTAAATTTTAAATATTGACACATTTAGAGCAACGTATTAAGGAACTTTTATCACTTTTCTAACTATTATCACCTTTCTACTGCTGTTGGTGGGCTTTTGAGAGAATATGTAATAATAGTAATAATAATAATAATAATAATAATAATAATAATAATAATAATAATAATAATAATAATAATAATAATAATAATAATAATTTAACTGAAATTGCAAAAAGAATTTTAAACGAAGTAAAATAATCCGTCTTTGTTTTGGTAGTAGTTTGGTGTGATTAAGTATTTTCATGGTTTGTTGTGTTGCTTGTATCTGTTTAAGTGGTGTTCTGTTCTCTCCTCTTAATTTGATTTGATTGAATTTTGTATTTTGAAGAATTTGTCCAATTTTTTCTTGACTTTATTTTAATTATTCTGGTATATGTATGAATAACTAATTCTTTTTAATGACATTTTTGTATTGTTTTAAAGTTATTGTAAGCTTACTGCTTACTTCTCTGTTCTGGAGGTTTTCTGAATAAATTGAAATTGAAAATTTAATTTTGAAATTTGAAATTTGAGCAATAAACAAGAATTTTCTCCCCAAATCTTTAAAGTGAATATCGGAGAGGCATAGCGCATGTGTTACTTCGTATGAACCATGAGCTTGCTAACCGTTAGCGGTATCCGGATACTGCTTACGGTTAGCGCTAACCGATCGGGCGTTCTCATGCAGTTGCAAACGGTTAGCTCCCGATCCGGATACTAGGGTTCGTGAGAACCCGGCTATTGCAAATTTTGACCCTTAGACATTGAGATTTCTTTTTCTTCGTTTTTCGTGCACTTTACATGCTATGTTATCACACGGCTATTAACGGTTAGCTGCCGTGCGTCCATCCGAGAAAATCCCGATCCGGATACCCAAAATATGATGACCGATTCACTGCGGGCCAATAAGACACTGGAAATTGTAAAGGCGTAGGCTACGTGTGATTGGTTGATGATAAAAACACGCTCAACTTGTTGCTAACCGATAGCGCTTGCTAACCGTTAGCGGTAGGCCCTATCCGGATACTGCTAACGGTTAGCGCTAACCGCTCGGGCGTTCTCACGCAGGTGCTAACGGTTAGCTCCCGATCCGGATACAAGGGCTCGTGAGAACCAGGCTAGGATTCTGATTCATTCATTAACATTATTGCATCATGAAACAATATTGGGAACATATAAAACTACTGTTGTTTTAATTACATTTCTGCTGATTTCATATTATAAATGAATTGTATTTTCCTTAAAAATTATTGCTATTAGTTAGTTATAATTCTACTGTAACTAATTATGTTACCGTATACAGTAAACCACCGTATATAAGTGGTGGCGCTGTATAAGTGGTAAAAGTTGGCTTGGCATATCATGGCACTGGTAGGTGGTGGTACACTAGCTTTGGGTCTTTCTTTTCCACGCAGGCCGTAAGTAACGTAGCATGAAACAATATTGGGAACATATAAAACTACTGTTGTTTTAATTACATTTCTGCTGATTTCATATTATAAATGAATTGTATTTTCCTTAAAAATTATTGCTATTAGTTAGTTATAATTCTACTGTAACTAATTATGTTACCGTATACAGTAAACCACCGTATATAAGTGGTGGCGCTGTATAAGTGGTAAAAGTTGGCTTGGCATATCATGGCACTGGTAGGTGGTGGTACACTAGCTTTGGGTCTTTCTTTTCCACGCAGGCCGTAAGTAACGTAGCATGAGACTCAGGGGGTGTAAACTTTGTTGCATGATTATTTTGGAAGTTTGAAGAGCATTGTTTTACATTCAAGCCCTAGCCTTACTACTACTACTACTAGGCCGTAACACTACTAGGCCT